TCCTGCCTCAGTCTGCCAAGTAGCTGGAATTATAGTTTGCCTGCCACATCACAAGAGGCCAGACATGTTTTTTGTTATGTTTTTTTGTAATGCTGGTGATCCAACATGTTAGGTCAATGTTCTACCACTGGGCTACATCCTCAGCCCTAAGACATAATGTTTTGATCTTTATGGACATTTGCAATGTGAAGTGTTTATGGCAGTCAAATTAATTAGCATATCCATCATCTCATATAGTTGTCCTGTGTGTGTGTGTGTTAAGAAGACTTGAGATCTCTCAACAGATTTTATTTGTTTGTTTGTTTATGGGTGCTGGGGATTGAACCCAGGGGTTCTTTACCATAGAGCCATGTCCCTAGCCCTTTTATTTAATTTTTAATTTCTTTGTGGTTGGGGCAGGTACCAGGGATTAAACTTGAGCACTTGACCACTGAGCCACATCCCCAGCCCTATTTTGTATTTTATTTAGAGACAGGGTCTCCCTGAGTTGCTTACTGCCTCACTTTCACTGAGGCTGGCTTTGAACTTGCGATCCTCCTGCCTTAGCCTCCCAAGCCGCTGGGTTTACCAGCGTACGCCACTGTGCATAGCTATTTTTGAATTTTGAGACAGGGTTTTACTAAGTTACTGAGGTTGGCTTTGACTTGCCATCCTTCTGCCTCAGGTTCCTGAGCTACTGGGATTATAGGCATTGTCATTGTACACGGATCAACAGCTTTTAGTATTCAGTACTTTATTAATTATCGTCACCAAGTTGTACATTAGGTTTTCAGTACATATTCACCTTTTAACAAAGTTTGACTAACATCTCCACATTTCCCACATCCTCTAGAACCCTTGGTAATCATTCTACTCTGTCCTGTTTTTAGATTGTACATATAAGTGAGATCATGTAGTATTTGTCATTCTGTGTCTGGCTTATTTAACTTACTGCAGTGTCCTTCAGGTTCATCCATGTTGTCACAAGTAATAGGAGTGCCTTCTTTTTTAAAGGCTAAATGATATTTGTATATACATATATGGAAATCTGTCTATCAGTCAGTCTATCTCTCTCTTACATCTCCTTTATCCATTCATCCATCAGTGGATGTGTTTCTGTGCCTTGACTGTTGAATATGCTCTTTTGAGATAGTGAGTTCCTTTAGATGTATTTCCACATGTGGAATTGCTGGATCATTTGGTAGTTTGTTTTGTTACCATGGATTGAACCCAGGGGTATTTAACCACTGAGCCACGTGATTTGGTTGTTTTACTAATTTTTTGAGGAATCTCTGCAATGTCTTTCATAAAGGCTGTACCAGTTTCCACTTCTACCAGTAGTGTGCCAGGATTCCCTTTTCTCCTTTTTCCCAATTCCTACTGGGGATTGAGCCTAGGTGCTACATCCCCAGTCCTTTTTATTTTGATATGTCTTCCTAAGTTGTTGAAGCTGGCCTTGAATTCATGATCCTCCTGCCTCAGCCTCTCCAGTTGCTAGGATTACAGGCTGGTGACATTGTACCTGCTCTATCTTTTGACTTTTTGATAACAGCCATCCTAACATGTAGGAGTGATATCCCCCATCTTTCTGAAGTGCAGGATGTGGAGTTCTGCTCATACCCCACTTACGGGGGATGTGGCTTCTCTCTGATATCCTTTTTGCTTTGATGTCTGAATCTGCAGCATTGCCTTGAGCAACTGGTGGTTTGTGGCCCACCTGACAGACCTGCTGGATCACTGTAGGCTTCTCCAGGCACACAACCTCTAGTAAGTAAACTTGACACTGCAAACCTGTTCTTGCCACCACCAGGTTTTCAAGTGTAGTACAGGCTGAATGCCTGGAAGGGAGGTTGGGCTACTAATGGGGTCCAAATGGAGCAGGCTTGGAGTCTGGTCTTGTGTTATGTCTTATTCCAGTTTTGGTTCCAACATGAGAGAATTCCTCCTACTGGAATATGCCTCAGGACTGTTTGCTCATCACAGGTAAGGCCACACAGGGAGGCTGCTTTCCAGCACATCAGTGCCAGTGGCTCTTGGATTGTTCTTTCTGACTTCTTGGGGGTTACAGAGGATTGGGGAAGTGAGGCTTTGCCTCCAGACCTCACATCTACAGGGAAGCCCCTGAGCTAACCACATTTTCTCTTTGGATCTTTGCAGCCTTTGGCAGCTAGGGGTGGATTACTTTGACTACTGTCCTGAACTGGGCCGAGTTTCTTTGGAGCTACACATTGAGCGAATCCCTCTCAACACAGAGCAGAAAGCCCTCAAGGTGCTGCGAATTTGTGAACAGCGGCAGATGACTGAACAGGGTGAGTTGGCCATGCTCCTAGCTTACCTTCTGGGATGTTTGGGCACGCTGAGGCCAAACTCTGCTGACATCACACCAGCTTTCTCACCAGTCACACCTGGGACGTGAAGAAAACTAGCATTCATTTTTTTAGTAAAGATCTTGTCCCACTTCTCAGTCTAAGAGCTCAGGCCTAGGGTCAACGCTGTTTCCTGTCTAGGTTGCTGCCAGCTAGGCCAAGCCCAACTGGCGAAATGATACAGAGACCTTTCATAGCTCAGCAGGAACACAGGGTTGAATGTGAGCAGATCTGCCCTCCTCCCCCACTCTGAGTGATAAAAACCTGCTTTACTCCTCCTCTCAAAGGAATTGCACATTTATGACTATCTTTGAAAGCACATGGTGTTGAAGACCCAAAGGAAGATAGATTTTTAAGTATATGGACAGATAATGGAGGGGTTGGCATGTGGGGAGGAGCAAACATCTTTTTGCCACCCCTGAAAGCATAGCCACTCATAAAGCAAATCCCATAGGGTATGTCTTTCAATATGCTGTTAACAAAGCAAGGACACCGTTGTTTATAAACACAGGAGCATTTTGTTCTAATGACCTGCCTGTGTTTGGAGCTCATTAGCTTTGAGTTATAGTGATGTTGTGGGAAAACCTGGCCCTTGCAGCCCTTAATCCATTCAGGATTAAGGGCTGCAAGGCTTCACTTTTTGTCTTTTACCCTGCAAAGTCCGCAGCATCTGTAAGATCTTGGCGATGAAGGCTGTCCGCAACAACCGTCTGGGCTCTGCCCTCTCTTGGAGCATCCGTGCCAAAGATGCCGCCTTTGCCACACTTGTGTCAGACAGGTGAGTGCAGCTAGTGCTGGCTCCCAGGAATTGTTTGGGAGACAGAAGGTTAAGGAGGTGGGGCCAGGACTGCTGCTCTGATTTTCTCTGGTTGGTGCTACAGATTCCTCAGGGATTACTGTGAGCGAGGTTGCTTTTCCGACTTGGATCTCATTGACAACTTGGGGCCAGCCATGATGCTTAGTGATCGGCTAACATTCCTGGGTGAGTCTTCTGTGTTATGTCCACTGGTTAAAAGTGGATACTTGTGGGGCTGGGTTGTGGCTCAGAGGTAGATCGCTCACTTAGCACGTGCAAGGCGGAGGCAGGAGGATCGAAAGTTCAAAGCCAGCCTCAGCAATTTAGCAAGGCATTAAGCAACTCGGTGAGACCCTGTCTCTGATAAAATACAAAATAAGGCTGGGGATGTGGCTCAGTGGTTGAGTGTCCTTGAGTTCAATCCCTGGTACCAAAAAAAAAAAAAAATGTGGACACTTGTGCAGATTGGAGGGAATGTTCTACATTTGTCCCAGGTGTTTTTCTCTTGGTAAACCCATATAGCAAACCACATAGAATTCTGTGTGCTAGATTCTGCAGTTTGTAGTACCATTTTACTTTCCAGCAATTTCAAACAGAGAAAAGTTGCAAAATTAGTATGAGAAATGAGGACTTTCCATGTACAGGTTTCTAGATTCAGCAATTACTACTATTTTTTGCCTCATTTATCATTCTTTCTTGCTTGATCAATTCTTTTGGGACCAGTTTGAGAGTAAGTTGAAGATACTGTTCCCCTTTCTCCATAAATTCCTCAGTGTGTAAGAATAATAGTTATCACAAACAGGAAACCTCCCAGGCATGGTGATACATACCTGTAATCCTAGCTCCTTAGGAAGATGGCAAGTTTGAGGAAAGCCTGGGCAGTTAGCAACAGCCTGTCTCAAAATAAAAAATAAATTGGGATGTGGCTCAGTGATAAAGCACCCCTGTACCCTAGTACCATTAAAAAAGGTGGGGGCAAGAGATCCATTTTTGATACAGTATTCTGATCTAATCCATAATCCACATTCTGATTGTATTCAGTTGCCCCATTAATTTTGTATCCAGGATCACGAATTTAGCTGCCATGTTTCTTTAGTGCCTCATTTTTTATGCCTTTTTTTTTTTTTTTTTTTTTTGGCAGGAGGATTGAACCACAAGTGACATGCATGCTAGCTAAGCAGGCACTTTAAAAACTTGAACACTGATTTACACCCCAAAACCCTTAGTGCCTCTTTCTTTTTTTACTTTTTGGTAAGACATGGGTTTTGCTATTTTGTTCAGGCTGGCCTGAAACTCCTGGGCTCAAGTGATTCTCCTGTCTCAGCCCCTGAGTAGCTGGGATTACAGGAGTACTCCATTATGCCCCATCTCTATGTGCTTTTTTGTGTGTGTGGTATTGAGGATTGCACTCAGGTCCTTGCACATGATAGACCAGTGCTATATTTCTGAGCTACATCCCTAGTCCTTTTTATTTTTTTAATCAAAAAAATTTTTTTTAGTTGTTGATGGATCTTTATTATTTATTAATTTATATGTGGTGCTGAGAATCGAATTCAATGCCTCACAACTGCCAGGCAAGCTACTGAGCTACAATCCCAGCCTTTTTTTTTTTTTAATGCTGTAGATGAACATAATACCTTTATTTATTTTTACGTGGTGATGAGGATCAAATCCAGTGCCTCACACGAGCTAGGAAGTGTTCTACCGCTGAGCCACAATGCTAAGCCTATTTTTATTTTTTGAGACAAGGTCTCACTAAGCTGCCCAGGCCAGCCTTGAACTTCTGATCTGCCTCCCAAGTCTCTGGGATTACAGACATGTGCCACCACACCCAGCCTCTTTGTGCTTCTTCATCTTCCTTTTTTTTTTTTTTTTCTGGTGGGGTACACTGAGTATTGAATCCATGAATGCTTAACACTGAACTACATTCTCAGTCCTTAAAAAAAAAAAAATTTTTTTTTTTTTTTGTAGTTGTAGATGGAGAGCATGCCTATATTTTTATGTGTGCTAATGATTGAACCAGTGCCTCACATGTGCTAGGCAAGTGCTCTTCCACTGAGCCATAGCCGTAGCCCCTAAAAAATGTTTTTTGGGGACAGGGTCTTGCCGAGTTGCTGAGGCTGATCTCTGACTTGTAATTCTGCTGTGTCACTTTGCCCATCTTTTTTTTCCCCATGTGGCTGGGAATTGAACCCAAGGTCTTGCTTGTGAGGCAAACACTCTACCAACTGAGCTATATCCCCAGCCCCCAGTTTATCTTAATATTTTTGAAGGCACAGACCCACCCTTGTAGAATGTTCTGTTTGGGTTTATCAGATTTTTCCTGATTAGATTCAAAGCTGTTTGAGGCAGGAATGCCACTGAGATGTTGTGAATGGAATTGGTGAGCTGTCTGTCCCCTTACTGCTGTTGGTGGTGTTCTGAGCATGTAGCTAGAGTAGAGTAGGCTGGGTGGCTCATGATGTACTCTTTTCCCCTGTGATTTAGAGATTGGTGGGGAGATGCTTTGGGTGATTTGAATGTCTTTTCCTCACTACACTTCTGGCTCTAGATTGTTGCTCCTGTGTATTAGCTAGTGTCTTACTGTAAGGAAGTGTTCCCTTCTTTATTATTGGATTGGGGATTTGTGGAATACCATCAGTCTGTTATAATCCAGGACTCTTTGACTTCTTTTGATGCTGATAAGTTTCCCACATTTGGCTCTGGGAGCTCTTCAAAGCCAGTATTTTGGAACTTCTGAATTTGATTATCATTGATCTGTGAACTTAGAGACCGCTCTGGAAACTTCTCCCTGCTCTGTGGAATGGGTGATCTAGGATCCCTTTCCTCTTGTCTGGGTCCTGGGTGATCTACATGTCACCTGGGAGCTTGCAGGTGACCTGGTTTTCCCTCCTCTTGATAGGAAAATACCGTGAGTTCCACCGATTATATGGAGAGAAGCGCTTTGGGGATGCTGCGTCTCTCCTGTTGTCTCTGATGACTTCCCAGATTGCGCCCCGCTCTTTCTGGATGACTCTGCTCACAGATGCCCTGCCCCTTTTGGAACAGAAACAGGTAAGGCTTAAGTTCCTGGGGATTTTCTTTTCTGCCTTTTGTAATTCCTGACAGCTTAGTTCTGTAGTCATGGCCCATATTCATGTTTTCTCTGAAGTAGTTGTTTGCCTGTGTATTCTCCCCAAGCATCCATGCTACAAATCCAGTAGTCACTCCAAAAAAATGTTGACAGCAGCTGTCCATAACAGTTCTCTGTCCAGGGCCTAAGTAGAAGCTTAGAGGGCTGAATGTCAAGACTCTGATACTGCTCCATCCTCCGTGGCACCACATACAAAGTACTTCTCTTAAGGGCACAGAGGGCCGACTTTCTCTGGCCTTGGCTGGAGAGCAGCTAAGTGAAGCAGCTTCTCTCCCCCAGGTGATTTTCTCAGCAGAACAAACATACGAGCTGATGCGATGTCTGGAGGACTTGACTTCAGGGAAGCCAGAGCGTGCAGAGCCTGATGCACAGCGACTACAGGTCAGTTTAGCTTCCAGTTTGATGCTTCCACAGTGAAGACAGGAAATGGCTGTCTGGCTTTCCTTCCCCTGCCCTGTACCCCTAAAACATTGGTCTAGCACATGTGCCTCTTGGTTTCTGCTTAGCCTGTAGTCAACGTGCCACATTTTAGGGGGCAATCGTCCATGTTTTTCCCCTGTTGATCAGCTGCATTGTGGCCCTCTGCATACTCTTACTCTGTGTATCTTTGAAGATTTTCTGCAACACATGTTGGCTCTCTGCTTTTCAGGACGACGATATAGAAACCACTAAGGTGGAAATGCTGAGACTCGCTCTGGCCCGGAATCTTGCTCGCGCAATAATAAGAGAAGGCTCATTGGAAGGTTCTTGAGGTCAGCTGAGAACTGCTGCAACTATATGGCAATGTATATATAGATTTTTTAAAATAATTAAACGTTTTCTTTTGCAAGTACAAGGCAAATTTTTATAATCCACCAGTTTCTGTTCATGTCTACTCTGAACCTGAGGTGACAAAAATGAAGAAAATGGTTGTTTTATGTTCTTTTCATTCTTGAGGTGGGTCTTGCTATGTTGCCCAGGGTGGCCCCAAATTTCTCGACTCAAAGGATCTTCCTGCCTTACCCTCCCACGTAGTTGGGACCACAGGTGTGTGCCATCGTACCTGGCTTGTGTTCTCAGTGACACAGAACTGTCTTCCCTTATCTCCTTAAAGAAGCCACCCCGATTTAGGAACAATGAGTGTGGTGTCCTTCTGCTTGTAAGTGGAAATTCAAACAAGAGCCCTTAGTGTTTTACTTATGGTTCAGAGACCTTGGCTTACTTCAAATCATCTGGAAAACTCCATCCAACTTTTTCTTTTTCCCCTTTATGGCTTCAAAAGCCTATACTTTTAACACAGACAATTTCAACATTGGTGTCTGTATTAGAAGGATTCCATGTAGGGTGAAAATGGTTTTTATTCAACATGCAGCAAAACAAGGGCAGTGGAGTTGGTACATTCAGTACAGCTTTTTGCCATGAAGTAGTGACCTCAGTAGTAACGGGTAACACTCATATAACTTTAATGTCTAAAGCATATTATAAATGTACATGTCCACATAGTAATCCCATGGACATTCCCAGTCTCTGAAAAGCTCTTTGATTTATTCCTTAAGTTATGAAAAGAATTCACTTTTGACCTGTCCTGATGAAGCAGTGGAACCTGCTTGCTACAGTCAGGGGACGGACAGGTGAGATGACCTCTGGATATATAGCAAGGAAGCCTGGTGGGGGCAGAGGGACCAGGGGATGCAGTTCGTGCCACCTTCCATTCCCCACAGATGCTGGATAGCTGAGCCTGTCCAACTGAGCTGTTTGACCTTTCCCAGCTTCTGTGGCAACTGGTGGTAGTTTCCTGTTGCCTTGTGAGGCTTAGTGTCCCTGGCCCAGGAGCAGCTGGGACTGAGCACTGTTGAAGCAATAGGGTCTGGTGACTTGGTTCAAGCATGGCTCTCATCTCATCCTCCAGACCCAACATTTTGCTGACAGTACCCCTTCATAGCTGGGGGACATTGGGGCTTCTGTACCACACACAAGGACATAAATCTAGTGCAATGTGCCTGACCCTGAGGCCTCTTAGGTCCACCCATGAGTGCCACACCACACACCACCTGGTGGGAAGAGGGGAAGGCCAAAGCAGGATGACGCAGGGGGTTGGGACGAATTGTCCCCCCCTTCAGAGATTCTAAGGGAAGGACAGCAGTTTGTTTCATGCCAAGCAAGAGGTAGTGAGTAGGATGGCCTGTCTGTATGACAGGAGATTTACTCTTCCCAGAAAGCTCCAGTACCTGCTTTTGAAGGGGTAACTGGTTCTCTTCCATTTTCTTTCCTATCCCTAGTTGAGGCTGTGATGAGGCCAAGTTCTGTTTCTGCTAGGCTGGGTTCCATGTCCTGCTGAGATGTTCATAGGACAGTCTGCCACTGCCAGGGATGAGCATAAAACTCATTCAGGGGCCACTGCAGGTTGCCGCTGCTTACAAAGGACAGGGTGGAGAACCTGGAGTGTTCCAGCTCCTCACTGGGCCACTGGCCTTGCCCACCTCGTTGAGGGTAGCAGCAGAGCCTAATGGCAGGGGAAGCAATAGGGGCAGCAGCCTCTCACACCATGCCTCTGCAGAGGACCTAGTTCTTGAGGTGGCCCAGAAACCTCTTTAGAGCCCACCCCTGGGCACCAGGAAATGCCAGTTGAAAGGAAAAACCTACTCCATGCCTGGAGCCCATGTTCCCAGGACAGCAGTGAAGCCAGGGGCCACTCCCCACCCCTGACAGTATATGGCCACTTCAAGTCACACAGGTAGATAAAAACAGGTCCTTTTAGGGGCCCAAGAAGGAGAGATTATCACAGCTGCAGCTTGGCTCCCAGTAGAAACGCCCCTGTTCCATGTCAAAGCTACAAGCATTGCCGTCAATAAGTGGACTGGAGCCCTCTCCGTCTCAAGCAGCCTGCCTGGCTTCAAAGTAGAGATCACAGCGTCCTCTGAGGTCATAGGCTCCCCCACTGCTCCACAGGAGGGAACTGGTCCACCTCGCCCACCTCTGTGCTGAGCTGCTCCCCTAGGGCGAAGGTCAGCCTATACCGAAGCCGCACCTTCTCCTGTGACAGAGGGCAGCAGGTGAGATCCAGGCCAGGGAGTCCCTCAGCAGGATGCCTTCTTCCCTGCTACCCTCTCATGGTCCTCTGTGCTTGAGGGCCAATCCCTATACCCACCATGTCCACCCACACTCAGGCACTTATTGCTGGGGCAGCAAAGGGAGGGGTTTTATGTTGTAGGTGACACACTGCAGGCTGGGAAGTTGTCTCAAGATCCTAATTTGGGGTAGCTGAGACCTTTGGGTTCTCCCATTGCTCACCTTCATTGGATTGGCTAGCAGCATGACCTGGGTGATGGCTGCAGGTGGCTGGATGGGACTAAATGGAGAGAGTTCTGTCCCAGAAGGTGGTTGCAACTTCACTTTCATTGACTGAAAATAAAGAGAAGCTTCTTCCAGAACTCTCTTCAGAGTTCGCAGGTACCCAAGATAGAACTCAGTTTGGTCCCAGTAGATACACACATACTGCCATCTGCTGGCTACCAAGAGGCCCTCAAGGTACAGCTGCATTCAAGACAAAGGCAATTTTGGTCTCTGGAAGACCTAGGGGTCCATGAGTACCTTGGGCACTGCAGCCTGCAACACAATGCTCTTGACAGGCAAGGGAGCTGTATTCAGCATGGACACCACCACCACCAGCACATCAGGCCGTCCAGGTGGACACTCCTTGGCAAAGTGGAAGAGGATGCGGAAGCCATTTTTATCATAGGCTGTCACAGGAAGGGCACTGCCTGCAAGAAGAGGCATATTAAGTGTGATAAGAGCAAGTGCCAAAGACATTCTGGAGCCCGGTGGTACCTGCTGTAGTCTAGTGGGTGGCAAAAAGGCTACAGTATGGCCTTTAAGTACAGTGCTCCCTTATGGAGTCAGAGAAAGGCCCTCTGTTGAGGGGGGCCTAAGGTCATACAGCTGCAACAAACAAGCTGAGACAGGAGGAAAGCAGACACTCAGCTCCAAGAACGTTCGTTCGAGCATGCACATGAGCAAACACCACACCACACCCTCTAACACCATGGCTGTGGGCCCCACCTCCCATCTCCAACACCTACTAGGCTTGATTGATTCCAGGGGCACATGGACACTGGTCAGGGAGAGCTCAGGCCCTTTCATGGGGCTGCCCTGGGACTGGAAGGCTGGTGGCTGGAAGAGAGGGCTGCCAGGCCCAGTGGAGAAGGTCAGAAGAGGCTTGGCTGGGGTGGAAGTAGGGAGCAGTGGGGAGGCGGTGGTTCCGGGCGAAAAGCAAGAGGAAGCAGGTTTCACTAAGCCTGAGGTCCTGGGAAACAGGAGAGAAAGTAAATCAGAGAGTGGGCCAGAGCTGCTGGGTCAACCCCTCACTAAAGATCTCCAGGACAGCAATGGCCTTTAGCCACCCCAAACTCCAGCTTCCAGTCCTGATAGAACCCAAAAGGATCCCCATTCTGCTGGCTCTGTACACTAGGCCCAACCCTTAGCCACCCCACCTCTTTTCCCACTCATTACACTTTGGCCTCTTCCAGAAGCTGATCAAGGGCATCCAGGTGGTGCAGGGTGCTGTCACCCAGTGCTGAGCAATGGCTTTCTGGGGCCACAGGTTCAGCCTTTGGAGTCAGAGCTGGGGTGAGTCCAGAAGAGAACATGAAGGAGGCTGCACTGGGGGCAGGTACACTGGAAGGGACCATGGGAGCTGGGAAGGGACGTGGCAGTGGAGCTTGGGAGGTACTTGAGGCAGGGGCTGAGGATGGGAGCAGGGTCCCATCTGAGGAGCTGCAGACAGCAGGTCCTGGCCTGGGGCAGAAGAAGTCCAGGTTGGACTGTTCATTCTGTGCAAGAAAAATGACAGGTGAGCAAAGGGCTGGGAGGGCCTGTTGCCAATACCAGGGACACTTTATTCCCCCATACCCTATCACACAGCCTGCTGGACCAGGTGCCCTCCAAGGACAGGGCCAGAGACAAGTACTTGGAAGAAACATGTTTCCAGCTGCAGAGGGTAGTGCTCTGGAGGGCAAGGACAGCCAGGCTCCAACTAAATGCAGCTGAGCACAGGTCAGGAGAGAGGATACTGATAAGTGAGGGTCCCTGGGTACTTCAGTGATATCCTCAGGAATAGGCCCCTACCTGGAACATGTGCCACTGGCTGTTTCCAGCTGATTCTTTGGGGGGAGCAGTAGGGGCTGGGTCAGTAAGGCCTGAGAATATAGAAGAATAGGATGAGAAGAGGCTCTGGGCCCAGCACCAGCTCCAAGGGTAGGGATCCCTTTCCTTTCTCACATACAGATATGAGAGGTCACCCAGGAAAAGAGCAGCAGAGCAAGATTTGAGTGCACATGTCTACCCCAGAATCCCCTGGGACATAGCCCTGGTGCCCTTGAGGGACACTGAACTTGACTAATAAACACACCAGAGGCTCTGGGCCTCTTCATTCCACATGCCTTTCTTTCTTTAAGGGACCCACCAGGAGGAGTCCCATATAGCTGCCCTCCAGGACATACCCAAGCAAAGCAGTTCCTCATCCAGCAAGGAAAGGGCGTTGCTTGTGCTGCTGAGCCCTGTGGGAGCTTCAGCCTGGCTGGATGAGCGACTGCGTGAAGGTCCAGAGGTCTGAGGGGGTGGAGGGAGGACAGGGATGCCTGAGGGGAGTGGGGCAGGTGCTGGCGCCAACATTGGGGATGAATTGTTAGGTGTCTCCAACTCAGCAAGGTCGATGAGAGTGCCTTGGCTGTTTCCTGGATGGGTCAACAGGAGGGGAATAATAATAATCAAATCATCTAATGGCTGTGCAATAGCAGGAGCAGGACCCTGGGCATAATAGCTGACACTCTAGCCTTGGGCCTAATTCAATGGCATTTCTTCCAGGGAACACTCTGGATAAAGCAGGTAGGGAATCCCCACTCGTCTCTCCAGACCTCTAGGAAGCTGGAGGACCACTGGAGTGGCTTAGAATCCCCTCAGATGCTATGGGTTGCATACGTTCAACCTGTACCCAGGGCTCCTTGGAGGGGAGTTGAGGCTATCTGGAGGGTGCCCAGAATGAGGAACCATAAATCTTACCTTCAGAGTCAGGCATGGTTGAGGTGGTCACCTCACCATTGATGACCTGCCCTTCAATAATTGTTTTATAAGAGTTGATGACCCGGGAGAGGTTGTCACTGGCCTGCAGGATGTCCCCTAGAGCAGAAGAGAGAGGAGTTGTCACTCCTGGCAATGACAACTCCCACACACTTATTCAAATTCTTGGCTCAGTATTGCCAATTGCTTTCCTTTTCACTCACCCAAACTATTGTCATTGTCCTCTGTCTCGCTGGCTAATTTAAATAATGTCCGTCTCTTATTCTCACACCGATCAAACAACTCCTAGAGAGATTTGGACAAAGTTACAGAGCTGGGACCAGAGTGCACACCCTCGTGTAGCTAGCCTACACACTGGCTACTGAAGCAAGCCCCTTCCTGCCTCCCAGGCTGGCATGCGTCTCAGAACTCAGTGTCTACCCAGTTACAGTTTGGGCCACAACATTAGCATCAGCATCCCTAAGGCTGCCATCTCTAGAGGCACAAACTCAGGTTCACGCCCAGCTCTTCCATTTAGGGCACATTAGCTGATGTCATGTATAAGGCAGGGCATCACCCTCCAGTTTCCTGCTGTCATGCAGATAAACAGGCCCATCAACAGTAAGTGTGTCCTTGACAGGACAGCTCCAGCGGATGGTGGCCTACCTTCATGAGCTCTCGGTCTGCCTCTGATGAGTGCTCCTGGCTATAGTGAAGCAGCATCTCATGCAACAGCTTCACGCTGTTGTGGACCTCCTCCAGTGTATGCAGGCGCTTGGTCACCTTTTGGATACGAGCCTCATCCTGCCTCAACCAAGAGGGTCCAGGAGAGAGTAGGCTCACACGGCCCGTCTTCCCACTCCCATGAGGGGAGGCTAACTGCTTACCCCATGGCACAAAAGGCCATACCCAGTGCATGGTTCCTGGGACCACAGGCCTCGGGACCCACCATACAGTCATATTTTTACAGTGACAACCCCCACTCCCAACATCCCTACCCTCTGTCTTTCCTCTCTTTTACTCCATTCTCCTCCAGGGAGCTACAACACTTCTCTTTCCAGTTGCTCCAGGTGAAGGCTGGTGGCAGTGGGAAAATGGCCTAACTGTCCCAGGGAAGACTTCTGCTCTATAGCCACCCACTCCTTCAACCCACACCCAGAGGACCAAGGACCACTCACTTCCTTCACCATGGACTTAATGAGCTTATTTGCCTCCTGCAGGTCATCTGGGTTTTTGCTTTTCAGCAGTTTGGCTAAAAGCTAGAAGAGAAGAATACTAAAGTGAAGGCAGAATCGGCACTGTGTAACCACCCCTGACCCACCACCACCAGGGAGAACCCGGAGCTCCCCACAGCACCAAGCCAAATGTTTCTCCTGGCTGCCACCTGCTCCCTGAGAGATCCCGAGGTCCAGTATGTACTTTACCTTAGATTTCTCCTCATCATCAAAAACAGGGTTTTTGGGACGAGGTGGTGGAGAAGGGATCAGTGTCCTGTCCATGGGGATTGGTGGGTCAGACTGCACAATGCCTGAAAGGAGACACAAGCAGCAGAGCACGCACTAGGATGTAGTCACATTGTCCCTACTCCTCACACATCAAGGCCACATCAAATGATTAAGACCAGAGATAGGGCAGTTTCTCATACCTAAGCCCACCATAACCCCAGCTAATCCCTGCTCTGTTAACAAAAGCCCTACTCTCTTCAGGCGGAAGAAAGTGAGTCTGGGGACCTCAACATTCTCGAGCTTTCTTCCTCTTTCCAGTCTTCCAGGATCACCTTGAGACTGAGAGAAGGTAGGTATGTACCTTGTCTCTTCAACATATGGTAGGCATCTTTGATTTTTGCTTCTTCTGGCAGGGCCATTGTCCAGCTATAAAGCAACTCGATGACCTTAGTCTTCACCTTCTCAGACACTCTGTCCCCCAGGTACTAGGAGGCAAAAGAAAATGGGAAAACCTAGTAATTATAGTTTGGAAGCAAAGAGTTAGGCTCTCTTCACAGCAACTACATAATCACTCATTAGATAGTTCCCAAGCCTACTTAAGCCCAGCAGATGTGAAGATGTGTGACAGAACAGGGGAGGGGAAGGACCTCCCTATGGCTTGGCTGTGTAGCTAGTTGGGAAGCCAGGAGCTTGTCACTGTAGCCCCACACATAAGCTACCTGAAACACAATTGCATTTTATCTTGTTTTCTGCAGTACTAGGGATCGAACCCAGGGGTGCTTTACCACTGAGTTACATCACTAGCCCTTTTTGTTTTTTATTTTGAGACAGGGTCTCTCTAAGCTGTTGAGGCTGGCTGGGACTTCAACATCCTAAGTTGCTGGGATTAAAGTGTGTACCACCACACCTAGCTAATTTAATTTTATCTTAAAGGACAAGAATGTCACTGCATGAAAATTGTTCCCTCTGCTTTAAGTTGGAGTTAGGCAACAGAACCTGGACAGCTGAGCAATGAGGGCAGCCAGCTCCTCATAGCCTGTAAGATAAGTCAGAAGAGCCACAACTGCTGTGTGTTCAGAGTATGGAGTTCCTCACTGCCAGGACCATGTTCTTGGGCATATGCACAGCTGCTGCCACACCACCTGCCACATTTAGACTGGGAGCCTGTCAGAGGAGACTGCCAGCCATGTGGCTTGTTCAGTCATTCCACTATCTACAGGGCCTACCTCTGCAAGAACAGGACATGAAGGATTAGCTCCACGGAGATGTTTGCTGAGCAGAGAAAGTAAGATGGGATATGGGGAGAAACCGAAAAAAAGGCCTTATAAGGGAGGAACTACTATCAACTGACCTTTGGAGAGACGACTTTGATTAACTCATTTAAAAACCGGAACTTTCCCACTTCGTTATGAAATCTCCTCCCACAGTTCTTCATACACGCCTCCAATACCTGTAGCCACGAAGAGGATAGGTGCTTGGTGTGGCGGCTCTGGGCTCAGGCACCACCTGGACTGCTGGCACCCAGACTGTCTGAGGAAATACTTCTAGGTGAAGGAGCTCATCCTAAGAAGTGGGCACTTGGCCTTGGGGAACTGTGCAAATCAAACCCCAGGATCACTTACCACTACACAGCCCTCAAACAGCACCTATACTAGGGATGCTACACAGGGGCTACAGTAAGAAACACTGAGACCCAGACACCAAAACAGCCTGGCCGCCAGACCTGGAACGTGCCTTCCTCAAACTGTTCTCGTGTGTTAAACATGAGGAAAACAGGTTCAGGTACAGGGCCCAAAGTTCTTTCCACAAGGTAACCAACGTTTTTGGGGGGTGGGGTGGTGCAGCAGAGATAATTTCCAATTAGTTGACAAAATGATTTCCCTCCCCTGCCCTCCATTTACGCATTCTTGTGCTGCCCATGGCCAACAGTACCTGCAGTTTATATGGAGGAATGTGCCCCATACAGCCTGGGGCTCTTTTCTTGGCTTGTTTCTTTTTCTTTCTTTTTTAATAACTTAATTTTTAAAATTAATTAATTAATTTATTTATTTATATGTGGTGCTAAGGATCGAACCCAGGGCCTTGCACGTGCGAGTTGAGCGCTCTACTGCTGAGCCACAACCCATAGCCCCCCATCTTATTTCTTTAAAGCAGGATTTCTCAAATATAGGCTGATGTTTTGAACTGGTCACTCTGCTCTGCTATGGGGACTGTCCAGTGCATTCTAGGATGTTTAGCAGCACTCCTGACCTCTACCTACTAGATGCCAATAACATCCCCAAACCCCCAACAACTAAAAACATTTCCAGACACTGCCAAAGGTTCCTTGTGGGGCAAAAGTGCCCATCTTGCAAATCACGTTTTTTTTTTTGGATGTGTGGGCAGGTGGTACTAGATATTGAACTCAATGCTGCTTAACCACTGAGCCACAGGGTCTCACTTGGTTGCTTAGGATCTCATTAAGTTGGTGAGGCTGGCCTCAAACTTGCAATCCTTCTGCATCAGCCTCCTGAGTTGATAGGATTATAGGCATGTGCCACATTCAACAAGAATCACTATCTTAAGTGATTGCAGTAGACAGGTGCACATGGAGCACCCTTTGGAGCTTCTGCCTCTTCCGGACATGAATGAAGTCAAGGGGGATCCTGGGTTCCCCTGAATTCATTGCTTTCTGGTTTAGGGAGGAGTGAGAGGTAATGGAGTGACATGCAGTACCTCATCCTGAATCCCTTAATCTCAATTAAGATCACCCAGAGCTCTCACCTGACAAGGTAATACCTCCACTGGCACAGGCAGTATTTTCAGCTACAAAACACACTATGCCCACCTCATTTTTCTTCAGCTGGCCAACTCTTAACTATCAAGACTTCCAAAAGACTTTCCAAGCCCCATGGTGGGCCCAAGGCTCTGGGTCTGGGTTCCCTCCCTTGGCAGCTCTACCTCTTACACTAACCGTGTAGTCATGCTGCTAGAGGTGGCACCTCGGTCATCTTTAAAGCCTCAGGGCCTGGCCCAGTGGCATGCACACTTGAGGATTGGCTGACTGAAAATGTTCTAGACACATCTATTCTGTATCAAGAATTTTCTGCTGGCCTTTCGGTATGAACCCTGAGAACCACCGAGGAAGGCCCAATGGGTACATGAGGAAAGGCCCATGCAAGTGAGGAGCCGCTGCTGTCAACTCAGAGTGAACACCTACCGTCAGGGCCTGTACTGCTTCCCATTCCTGGGGAGACTGGATCTTGTGGGCTAGTAGTCGGACGGCAATCTGGGGCCTGGGGGACAAGTAGACCATAGTCAATGCACTGACCCAGGCCTACCTGGCCAGCCCTTCTTGGCTAGTTTTGGGTTTTTCCTGTTAGCTTTTCCACCTGCCCCCTAGCAGTGCTGAGACTTACCCTTCAAGCTCTTTGTTGATCTGATCACAGAAGCCAATTATGTATTCCCAGTCCTCTTGGCGATTGGAAGGATTGGTAGCTTTATCTTGGGACAGAACAAAGGACAACAGTTATGAAGAGCAAGGAGGACATGATAGTTTTTCTTCACAATTTTTAGGCACCAAGAAGAGTTTGCTTCCAAATTTCTTGTCTCATAGAGAAGCCTCAATAGTTCAGTTAAACAGCAAATATAAACTCTGCTTTCTGCTGAGTATTTTGGAAATCACACATGAAAGAGAAAAAAACCCTCAGCTTCACAGAGCTTATCAGGATCCAAAGGATAAACGTGAATGAATAAAATATTCACAAATAAATAATACCTTTGTAAAATAGGCAAATATAACAAATATAGATAATTCCAGCTACATAAAAATGAGCTAAATGTCCATTAAGTAGGGATGCCAAGAAGTGTTTCCTGGAGAAACTAAAGTCAGGCTAGACTACATTAAAAAACTTGAGTTTTCTGATTTTGGTACTGGGAATTGAACCCAAGGGCACTTTACCACTGAGCTACATCCTTGGCCTTTTTATTTTGAGGCAGGGTCTCTAAGTTGTTTATATTCTTGTTAAATTGCTAAAGATGGCCTCAAATTTGACTTGTAATCTTTCTGCTTCAGCCTCCTCAGCTACTGGGATTATAGGTGTGTGCAACCATACCAAACTCAAAATGTATTTTCTATAGATCCTTCAAAAACACTTTTGAAGCTACACCCTTGGGTTCAATCCCCAGTACCCATCCCACACACTCAAAAATATTTTCAAAACTAACCTTCCTTAATAGTTTAAAATTTTTTTTTAGGGGGGGTGGATAAAACCCAGGGCCTCAAGCATGCTAGGCAAACACTCTACCACTGAACTACATCCCTAGCCCAGTTTAAATGCTTTTTACATTGCACACAATTCTCATTACTGTCAGGCCAGCAATACATATTGAGCCTCTAGTAAACACCAACCACTGTGCAGTCTATCCCTGGGACCACACAAACAAAATCTTAGCTTGAGTATACAGCACCCTCAGGTTTAAAGAGCCTGCCACAATTATACACAAAGACAAATGCTAGCGAGTCTCTGAGGAGAGGGTCATTGAGGTTGAAAATCCCAGTGCTAAGTACAAAATTCGGTAATATTTGGTTTGGGTCCTCCTCCTCTTTAGCCTTGGGATCTGTGCTTATAGAGGATGGCCCAGTTGAGGGTGCTTAAATGGATTCCTGTCTCTGACTCAGATCTGGAGTCTGCCTTTTTCCAGAAAGAATTCTCAAGCTGTTTGCTAAATTTAGGCCTCTTGTAGCTCAGAAGACAAATGGAAGACTGAGAGGTACAAGCTCTTAAACATCCATGTTCCTCCTGTACCTAGTAACAGCCTTCCCAACAAGGGATGCTGTTAGAAATTTCTGCATTCCGACTTCTCATGACTGTGGTCTTTATTGTTTTTGTTTGTTTTATACTAGGGACTGACCCACTAAGGTACATCCCAGCCCTTGCTAAATTGTGCAGGCTGGCCACAAACTTGTGATCCTCCTACCTCCCCTCCTAAGTGGTTGGGATTACTGTGCCAGTTTGTGAGTATTTTCTTAAATAAAAAACCCCCGAACTAAGCCAGGAGGATCTCAAGTTGGATATCAGCCTGGGCAATTGATTGGACCCTGTCTCAAAACTAAAAATAAGTAAGTAAATAAATAAATAAATAAGAAGTCAAAATTTAAAAGCCCTTCAAAATGTCAAGCTTGAAGGAAAGGAATTTTTTTTTTTTTTGGTGGGGGGGGTCACTGGGAATTGAACCTAGAGGCACAGTCCACTGAGCCACATCTCTAGTCCTTTTTATTTTTTGGTACCAGGGATTAATACCAGAGGCATTTAATCATGAAGCCACATCCCCAGCCTTTTTTTATTTTGAGACAGGGTCTTGCCAAGTTGCTGAGGCTGGCTTTGAACTTGTGATCCTCCTGCCTCGGCCTCCCGCTCCCGAGCCACTGGAATAATAGGCAAGCACCACCGTGCCTAGCCAGTCCCTTTTTATTTTGAGACAGGGTCTCGCTAAATTGCTTAGGGCCTTACAGAGTTGCTGAGGCTGACCTGGATCTTGCCATCCTCTTGCCTCAGCCTCCAGAGTCGCTGGAATTGCAGGTGTGCACCAAGACCACATCCAGCTGAAGGAAGATTAATTTAATCGAGGGCAGTCATTTGGAAAGAAATGCCTAGCAATCCTGCACAGACTGCCACAGCCAACCCCTAGCTATCACCTTCCCAAAAAAGCCTGACTCCCCACCACTTCTCTGAAATCTTCTCAAGCATTAGCGTGATTTTCTTATTAATTGCTATCATTTCAGATGCTTTAAAGTTTTCACATAACACCAAGAAGCTGGAGGATTTAAAAATAAGATTGTCTAAGGAGTCAACTCCCCTCCCCCCACCCTTTTATCATTTTGGTAAAAGTCACAAACCTCATGGTAGAAGATTAGCCTACCTGTTTGCACTGTTCACAAAGGGAAAAGTATCTCCCAAACAGTAAAATGTGGATTTCTCCATCCCATAAACAATGGACAATCACCAAACAATGCACTCTTCCCAGGCCTGCTCCTCTCCCTACAGCATCCCTGCCTCCTGAAACATTCCCACCTACTTTTCAATGTGTTCACTCCTCTAAGAATCTCACTTCCCTAAAAACATTCTTACTGCCACAGGGAACATTCTGCCTGCATATGGCACAAAAAGCCCTAGTTGGAGCCATGGTCAGTGCCACTCTCCAGTGTCTATAACAGATTCCCAGCAGCTTAGAAGGTATATCTGTCACCACAGGAGCTGGGAGAAACAGCTGGAGATGATGCTGGGTGACTCCAGATCTCTATGAGCCTACTGCTCCTCTAGCAGAGGAACATGCCCTTCCACCCACTTAACATTCTCTTTCATCTGGCAGGGG